ATCTACTTTTTTAAAACTCTTGGAACTAATAAATGACTGTCTCAAAGTCACAGGAAATAAGCTCAACACAAAAGTGAATCATATTTATCTGTACAAGTAATGAACAATTGGAAATTGAAATTTAAAAAATAATACCAGTAGGCCTGGCCACATGGGCGAGTGTTTAAAGTTCTGTACACTCCACTTCAGCAGCCTGGGGTCACAAGTTCAGATCGTGGACGTGAACCTGCTCCACTCACTAGCCACGCTGTGGAGGTGTCCCACCTAACAAAAAAATAGAGGAGGATTGGCACAGATATTAGCTCTGGGCTAATCTTCCTCAAGTGAAAAAAGAGGAGGATTGGCAGTGGATGTTAACTCAAAGCAAGTCTTCCTCAAAAGAAAAAAAAATCATTTATGTTAACTTTTCCCAAAATGAAACACTTAGGTATAAATCTAACAAAACATAGACAGGATTGGTATGCTGACAGTTACAAAACACTCGTAAAAGTCATCACAGACGTAAGTAAATGGATAGACACATTCTGTTCATGGATTAGAATACTTAACATAGTAAGGATGTTAGTTCTTCCCAAAGTGATCTATATATTTAACACAATCCTTATCAAAATACCAGCAGGATTGTTTTGTAGATATTAACAGGCTGGTTCTAATTTATGTGGAAGGGCAAAGGAACTACAATAGCCAAACAGTTTTCAAAAAAACCCAAAACAACATTGGAAGACTCACACTACCTAATTTTACAAATTGCTGTAGACTTACAGTGTCATGGTATTGTGGAAGGGATAGACACGTAAATCAGTGCGAGAGAACAGAATACAGACATAAACTCCCAAAGCATGGCTATTTAATCTTTGATAAAGCAGATCAATGGAAAACAATAAATAGTATTGAAACAATTGGTCATCCATATGCAGAAAAATGAACCTTGATCTAAATCTCACACTTTAAACAAAAGTGAACTCAAAATGGATCTAAATGTAAAACTATAAGACTTCCAGAAGAAAACATGAGAAAAATCTTTCTAAGTTGGAGTTAGAGAGTTCTTAGCAATGACACCACAAATACGAGATAAACTGTAAAAGAGAAAAATCTGTAAAAGATAACTGTAAACGATAAAATGTAAAAGATAAAAATGATAAAGAGTATGAACTGTAAAAGAAAAAATTGATACAATGAATTTTATTAAAGTTAAAAACTTTTCCAGGCACTCTCAAGAAAATGAAAAGATGAGAGTATTTGAGAGAAATATTTGCAAATAACATTTGTGACAAAGGACTTATATCCAGAATATATCAAGGACTCTTAAAACTCAACAGTAAGAAAACGAACAATCCAATTAATAAGTGGGGCAAGGACTTGGGCAGTTTTCCAGAGGATAAAGAAGGCAAATAAGCACTTGAACAGATGTTCAACGTCATTAGTCATTAGGATAATGCAAATGAAAACCAATGCAATGAGGTACCAATGCATGCCTATTAGAATGGCTAAAATAAAAAATACAGACAATACCAAGTGCAGACAAGGGTACAGAGTAACAGGAATTCTTCCTGCCTTGCTGGTGGGAATGCAAAATTGTATAGTCTCTCTGGAAAAGAATTTTGCAATTTCTCATAAAGATATACTTACCATATGATCTAGCAATCCCCCTCCTGAGTATTGGCCCTAGAGCAGTATGACAGTTTTTAAAATAAAAATTAAAAAATAATGCATTATATTAATGTTTCTTTGAACGTTTAAAGATCTTTCCCTACTGTGAACTATTTTTATGATAACTGTGTACTTAAACTTGGTTTAGTCTGCTTTCTAGATGCACTCTTCTCTAATGTTTAAAAAAAGTCTTTGCATTATGATTAAAAAAAATAACCATTATAGAAAAGTTAGAATATTAGAGGAAAAACAAATCTAACTCTGTAATCCTGCCAACCTTTTGCAGCTACTTTGTATATCTGTCAGTTCTTTTTCTCCACACATGATTTATTACATAAATGCAATGAATCTGTATTTATTTTCGTGCATAGTTCATAGTTTGTTGGTTCTGATTCTATACAGTTTTGATTACTGCTCTTATTTTATACTTTGCTTCTCTGATTTCAGGCAAAACATTTTTCTTTGTGATGAGCATCATTCTAGGGTTCCAAGTGCTTCATCAAAGTCATTTTAGACTTCTTTGTATCTCACTTCTGGTGACTTTATTTATCCTAGCAGGTAGCCTTTGAGCCTAAATACAGAGAGAGAAGTATTTAGTTTGCTTGACCTTTTAATTTGCCTTTTCTAAGCATGTTTCTCTCCTCCCCTGTAAGAGAAACAGAGCAAAGATCTCTGTATGGATTTATGCTGCTGAAAGTAATAGCCCTACTTTATGTTTCCAATCAGAAGGTAACTTTCTACTTTCTCTTTTTAGAGGAGGAATAAAACAGACCCCTTTATTTCTTTCCTTGCATAACCTTCATTTCTTTCCAGGTGTAACCTAATTTTCATGTATTACTGCTTAGCTTTTAAAAACATCTTAAATGGGCCTGTTTCAGACAAGGATACGTATGTTAGTACATTTAAGTTTTTTTGTAGATTTAACATGATTCCTTGTAAACACCAGGACTCTGTTGCCTTCAGAGGTTTTTAACATATAATGATCATCATAGAATATTATTACAGGGTTATTTTCCCAGTAAGGTAAATGGTCAGCTTAGCAAGAATCTTTATTCTTACCAGCAGAGGAAGAGAAGACTCTGATTTAGAGGTTTTCTGTTCTAGGAGTATTCCAAGCATTCTACGTTCATAAATAATTTTCTTCATTACCTTCATATTCCTAGACTGTTGGAAAGTAATTCCAAGTGAAATGAACAGCAGTTAGATGTAAGAAAACGTTCTGTCCAAAGATGTTGGAAGACAAAGTATTGGCTAGCTCTCATAGTAGATTACAACCTGAGCCTGATTTAGGACAGGGATCTGCTCCCTAGACGTGGTCCTGAAGTGGGGAGCAAGAGAAAAGGCTCCCAGCTGTGAGGCTGCAGAATGTTCGACTGTGTGCTGGGATTACAAGCTCAGGTAGAAATGGTAGAGGTAATAGACTAGGGGGTGAGCAACTTGGGTGTTAGATTTAACTCTCCTACCATAGGTGTGTAACCTTGCTTTTAAGTTACCAAAACCCTTCGATTTTGTGTATCTACATAGAAGGTATTGACAATGCATACCTTACCTATTCCATAGGATTCTGGGCAGATAAGTAGAGATAACATATGGAAAAAGTGCTTTGAAAATAATATATCATATGAATATGAGTGACTGTGGTGGTGTATGCATGAGAGAGAAAAGAAATGAAACAGAACAGACCATCTATCCGATTACTTTTGCCATGTGAAGTGGGAGAGACATTTGAGGACCTATCATTTTCTAAATTCCCTCAAAAGCCTTCCGACTAGGTACTGTATTTCTTTACTTTTTTATTTGAGGGAATTGAGCCCAAGAACAGTTTAAGTTTCTTGCCAAAAGTTACACATCAGCTATGGGTGGAATTGGGAATTTGACTCCAAATCCCCTGCTGTTTTTTTCCTACAGTGTGCTACTATATTGATCTTATGGCTGCATAAATGTTATAACACAGTTTGGAAAGATTGACAGAAATTAAAAATGGTGGAATCATTTCACATTCAACCAACATGAGTAGATTTCATTTGTTAGAAACCCTAAAATTGAGGTTCAGAGCAAGATTATGAATTGAAAATATTACCTCCTATATGTTAGCGTTTAAAAGCCACAGAAAAACACAGAGAAACCAAAAGAACTGATATATTTAGAGGAGATTCTAAGTTAGCAAATTCTTCATCTGTTATAATAGGAACTCAACAGATCATTTTTTTAAAGACTAAATTAAGAAATAGCGATTTTCTTGTATGGAAGTAACCACCAGAAGCGATTAAAAGCTGGTTGCATTTGGGCATTGGGACTAAGGGTAGGGGAGAGCTGAGCATGAGAAACTGCTCTTTTTTTGTTATAAGCCTGTCTGTGGTTTTAATTTTTAAGTGTGTACATGTGTCATTGCAAAAATTATTAAGATTTTATAAAATTCTGAGGCAAAGTTTACTGAGATATACTTCTTTGCCAAAGAAGGACATAGTTAGGACATAGTAGCAGCACAAAATTATCAGTTAGCTCTGAACATATAAAAGAAACTACTAGGGAAGGGGTCCTGACTGAAAGATTACATTGGTACTAATCAGATTGCCTGCCTCTTTATGATAATTAAAACATCTCTCTGAGCTGTTGAAGTGTTGGGGCCTAAGGATGGTTGGGTTAGTTGTATAAGGACTCTTGATGAACCACTGACTTACTGCTGTCGGTGACAAAGTTCTTTAACTGGAAGATAGTAGCTGTTTGATTGCCAAGAAATACCTTTTGAACTAGGCCTCTATTGTGGCAAACTAGAAAGTTCTTCCTCCCTTTCTTGTGTGTGTTGTGGGGTGGGGTTGAGTGTCTTTCTTGGGACTTGGTTGGACCACTCTAACTCACCTGGACATTAACATCTGGGATTTATTTCTCCCTACATCAAATTATTATAGTACTTTTGGAGGACTCAGAATGGTAAAATTTAGCACATGGATTTAATTAATTTTAAGTAATCTTGAATAGTTATGGCTCTCATTTCAACTAACATACCCAGGAAAAAGTATAGACACTCACAGAATAAAGTTTTTATAGAAACTTTGAAATTTAGTAACCCTGGACGTGTGAAAGAGTATTTTAAAAAGTTTTAAAATTAATCTGACCACTCAATTTTATCTTCAGAAAGTTATTTCTGAGGATGATTATTTAAAATTCTTATTGAAGACAGTAGAGAGAATCGAAGATATTGTTGAATTATATTTTAGAGCTATAATTTATCATGGGGTAGGATTTGTGTGTTTATGTTTGAGTGTGTGGTCAATGAAAACTAAGACTTTCAAATGCTTTAGTATCAAGTTTTATGTCTTAATGTCTCTTTAAAAAATTATTATTAATAGCTGTGTACGATCGAATGCGAGCTGATCAGAAGAAATTTGGTAAAGCATCATGGGCAGCAGCTGCTGAACGTATGGAGAAGCTCCAGTATGCAGTTTCTAAGGAGACTCTGCAGATGATGAGAGCTAAGGAGATCTGCCTGGAGCAGAGAAAACATGCACTGAAAGAAGAGGTAATAAAACCATCAGAAAAATGCATAAAATTTAAAATGCTTAAATATATACGTTGCTCATTTGCTGATAGTTTTTCTAAGTATTAGATGAAGCAAACATTAGGGTCTGGGAGTACGATACTTTTGAAAATAAGGAAAGTATGTAGTTTTAATAGTGAGTGAAGATTAAAGCTAGTGTTAGGGATGAACTCAGGAGGGTGTTCGAGATGGCGTATAGTAAGACTTGATGGTTTAGGCACAACTCTTCAGTTTGTCTTTTGTACCCAGAGTTAAACCCAAAATACTTCAAAGATGAAGTGTTTGAATTATTAAGTTAATTTTGGATTGTTTCCCATTGATTTCATTTATTCATTTTCTGTCTTACTTGAGATAATTAATAATTAATTGTATCATACATTATTTTATTAAGTCATTTTTGGAAAAAAATGAAATCACATTCTTTTTTGCCTATATGCCATACATAAAATATTTCTAAAACCAAACTCCTTTATTTCTCCATAGCAGGTGTTCCTCAGATCGCCCCTTTCTGTTAAGGCCCCTGCTTCTTCAGCATACTCCAGGCCCAAACTTTAGGGTCACCTTTAACTCTTCCCTTTCCTTTGCCTTCTTTTTCTACCTTTTGGAATTCTGCGCAACTCAGATGTCCCTCGTCAGTTATTCGCTCAACAAACATTAAGTGTTTTTGCCAGGAATTACAATGGGTGATGGGAATAAAGACATGTTTAATACCCCTTGGCTTCCTACTTCCTCCCCCTACTTTTCAAAGCCATTTTTTTATATTTTTAAGATTGACACCTGAGCTAACAGCTGTTGTCAATCCTTTTTTCTTTTAATTGCTGTTTCTCCTCAAATCCCCCCAGTACATAGTTGTTTATTTTAGTTGTGGGTCCTTCTAGTTGTGACCTGTGGGACGCCGCCTCAGCATGGCCTGATGGGTGGTGCCATGTCCACACCCAGGATCCGAACTGGTGAAACCCTGGGCCACCGCAGCAGAGCCTGTGAACTTAACCACTCAGCCACGGGGCCAGCCCCTCAAAGCTATATTTTTAAAGCATGAATAAAATGCAGTCGTGGTATTTAGAGTTCTTAGAGTATGGTGGGGCAAGACATGTGCAGTGTGAAAATGAGCTGTGAGGTAGGCAGGTATCACTGTATACAAAGTGGATCACTGGTGGAGTGCTCAGCTTTGACCAGAGGGTCATAGGTGCAGACAGCTGCATGTTCCAGGAGTCCCAGTGGGGACAGGAAGGGTCAGTCAGCCCAGTTATCTGGAGAAGGAGTAGTGAGAAATGAAGTTGGAAAAGTAAGTGAAATTTGGGGTTGGCCCTCCATGCCCTGCCAAGGAGTTTGAATCTTACCCCAAAACAGTATGGAGCCACTGTAAGATTTTAATCCAGGAGTACCACGATCAAATTTGTTCTTATGAAGTGTTACTCTGGCCAGTTTATAGCGGATTGGTTGGAGGGCCATTCTTAAAACCTTAGCCCATTTCCTTACATGGAAACTCTGCTTTTCAGACAGGTTTGTTGCTGACAACAGAAAGCAAAGCTTTTCTCACAAATGAGGGTAAATATCAGGAATTTGGACCCTTAGCTCAGTAATGAAAGAAGTTTAGGTTAAAGGCAACAGAATTGGGAAAAGTTAAACCTATGTTATGTTTTGGCAACCTGAAATTGCTGCTTTCAAAACTGCTCAGGTTGATGCAGGACTTTCCTGGGCAGTTGAGCACTGAGTAAAGGCAGGTTGGTGACGGTCAGATGCAGATGGCACGTGCCTGTGCCCCTGAGTGTACGTGGGCAGTGCCTGTGTTCACAGAGCACCACAGTCTTGGACAGACTGGTAAAGGAGGCAAGAAAAGTGGGGGTTTCGTTGGGCAGAGCAGAATGAGCTGGCTGAGGCAACTGAAGTTATGTTGTTTAAAAAGGGCAATTACGCTTCAGAAGGATTAGGTAAGAAGAAAATCGTTTAATTGATCCTTAGATTTGTTGTACTTTGTAGCCCAAAGTGTTTTTTTAAATCACATCATTGAGACATAATTCACAAACTATGTAAGTCACCCATTTGAAGTGTGCAATTCAGTCGTTTTTTTGGTGTGTGTATTAACAGAATCATGCAACCATCACCACAGTCTACTTTAGAGTGTTTTCATCCCCCCAAAATAAACCCATGCCCATTAGCAGTCATCCCCCATCTCCCCTCAGCCTCCCCAGCCCTAGGAAACCACTATTCTACTTTCTAGCTTCATAAATTTGCTATTCTGGACATTGCATATAAATGGAATCATAAAAGCTGTAAGTGTTTTTACTGTTGTTTTCACGTAGCATGATGTTTTCAAGGTTCACCCACGTTGTGGCGTGCATCAGTGCTTAATTTAGATTTTTTTGCTGAGTGGGCCTCCATTGTGTGGTTATATCACGTTTTATGCATGCATCAGTTGATGAACATTTGGGTTCCTTCTGCTTTGGGAGCTATTATGAATGATGCTGCTGTGAACATTCAGGTGCAGGTTCTTATGTGGACATTGATTTCCATTTGTCTTGGTGTATATTTAGGAGCGAAGCTGCTGTTTAACCTTTTGAGGAGGTGCCAGACTGTTTCCAAAGCAGCTGTACTTGTTTACATTTCCACTACAGTGTATGAGGGTTAGAATTTCTCCACATCTCTCTCTACATTATCACTAATACTTTTTATTATTTGTGTTTTTTAATTATAGCTGTCTTGGTGTGTGTGAAGTGGTATCTCACTGTGGTTTTGATTTGCGTTTCCCTGATGGCATGTGATGTTGAATATCTTTGTGTTGTGTGTTTGTTGCCCACAAAGGTATCTTCTTTGGAGAAATGTCTATTCAGATCTTTTGCCCTTTTTTTTTCTCTTTTTTTTGAGGAAGATTAGCACTGAGCTAACTACTACCAGTCCTCCTCTTTCTTGCTGAGGAAGCCTGGCCCTGAGCTAACATCCGTGCCCATCTTCCTCTACTTTATATGTGAGACGCCTACCACAGCTTGGTGTGCCAAGCGGTGCCATGTCCGCACTGGGGATCCGAACCAGCGAACCCAGGGTCACCAAGAAGTGGAATGTGCGAATTTAAGCACTGCGCCACCAGGCCGGCCCTCTTTTGCCCATTTTTAAATTGGCTTATTTTGTTTATTACTGAGTTGAAAGAATTCTTTACATATTCTACGTAGAAGTCTTTTATCAAATATATGACTTGCAAATATTTGCTCCCATTCTGTGGTTTTCCCATATTGGTTTTTAAAATGTTGACTATATATTTGTGAAAGTAATATATTTTAGTCTCTAGAGGAGAAAATGTCGTCTCCATTTTTATTAATGCAGCTTTATATAAAATTCATTGCTTTATGAAACTCTTTGGCTTAGGAGATATAGCAAGATAGTCCTCATTGACATTTTAAAAGCGTATATGCTTATCTACTCTTGTTGAAAAAATAGTATATGAGGTAACCTGTAATGTATCATGGCTGTGATTTAGAAAGAAATCTTTTTGTTAATGGATTTTAAGTTGTGACTTTGTTTTTCTCTTACATTTTCTTATTTGCCACTATTGTTAAAGGTAAAATTGCAACTTGTCTTGTCCTGGAACTTCTTCACACTTTATATTCAAAATCTCTTTCCAAGGATTTCAGCCCCCTCTTGCATTCCCCTGAGGCATTTCTACTGCATTCTCCTTTTCTAGTTAGCTTTCTCCTTCATGGTACTAGCTGTCTGGAATTTTCTTAAGTTCCAGAACTTTTAAAACTTAAACTCCTAGCATTTCGTTGCCTGAGAAGTAGAGTAGTACTCTGCCTTCATCACATTCACTAGCTTTGTTGTTCTAACCAGGCTGACATTGAGTTGTAGTGACGACATAGGTGCCTAAAAGTGCTGCTGAGGGTGACTTCTGACTACTTGCTGTTCCAAGAAGACTGTTCGTACTGGAATTGATCTAGGGTGGTAGAGGAAGGGCGGGGCTGAGATGGCCCGAGAGTCTGAGATGATTGTCTGTGGGGTCATTTTCCCTGGGGCCATTCCATTACTTTAATAGTTGGTTTTTTAATGTTCTGGATTGTGTTTGAATTCTTCAAAGGATTTGGTAAAACTGTCAGTTAGTCATTCTTGCCAGGTTTATGCTTGTTGTGTGTATATAATACATGTATTGTGCTTTACATATATATGTCTGTGAAGATGTACTGCACCAGTTTTATTAGCATAAATTCAAGCTGACCGCATTACTCATGAGAAACGGCAAATGTGAGTGATTAAGTCCGTCCCGAACAAACGCTGTGCCGGTGGAGGCTGTCTAACCCAGTGCTACCCTGTGATTTAAGTTAGGAGGAGACTTTTGTTCTTTACAAAAATGGCAGTGTGCTGTGTCTCCTTACGTTATTTTAAAAACAAAAAACTTCTTTCTGATGCGACAAAACAAAACACTTTCAAAATTAAAATTAGAAATTAAATTGAAAATATTTAGTAATATTTGCCAGGAGTATGATGCTGAACTTGAAATAAAATTTCTAAATGCTGAAATGTTAAATATCTCTGAGGCAAGCAAAATTCTATTTGAGTTTTAAATTTTCCTTACACTTAGGAGTAAGTACCATTCCTTTTAATCGATCTCCTTTTTATTTATTTCTGAGTCTTGACTGTAGTCATTCTTGTCCTTTCTAGGTCACAGACTCCTGCCGATTCAGAATTTGAAAGCTAGGAACACTGACCTCAGGGAAATACATGTATACACACAGCTTTGCCACAAGTTCAGTAGGTTCCCAAATCATCTGTACCTGAGCCTCTGATTCCAGATTGTCCTCTGGTGTTCAGATTTTCCCATCAGAAACTCCTGAAATATCAGTGTATTTTTGGCCTAATACTTTTGAAAGAATCCAGGGTGAGTTTAATTAGTTGTAGCTGCTTTAAATTACCCTTTAAATAGTATACTCCCCCTCAAGTCCAGACTCAAAAATAACAGCGCCATCTGACCACACACGTACACCTTTGCTTTCAGA